AACTGTAACAAAGCGTTGACATCACCAACTTAAACATTTAGTGCTCAAACTTAAAAAAAATTGAGTTGAAATTTCCTACGAAGCAGCAGTTTTGTAAAGTTGAACAGACTGAGGCTGCAGCAATGACATCTTTACAAAAACATGATGAAACATGGTTTTTAATAAAACACGTCTCTGAGTTTGAAGTTTGTTTTTGTCTGAAGTTATAAAAGCAGAAGATGAGCAGTTTATTTCTGCTTTGCTGCAGCCTCAGTGTGAACTAATGTTGACACAGTCAGTTTGATTCTCTCTCAGCTTTGATTTCCTGTAATTATTATAATGCCTTTGTCTTTCCAGTAGGGGTCTCTGCAGTTCAAAGGGGGAGTTTCTTGCTGTGTGGGCGGAGTTTGTCCTAACTGTGATTGGTCGAACTGACTTGTCTTGTGGGGCAATTTAAAAGAGGAGGTAATGATAATAGTAAAATGATATGATTTAATGACTGTCTATGCACAGTTTAAAACAGAACAATGACTCAAATAAAAATTAGTGTGAGCATGTAAACGCATTTTATTGACTTCAAATTTCATGTGGCAAGCACCTTCCTGTCTCAAGTTATGACTAATATTAAGGTATATATCGATCTTTTTACAGGCTGGTTAAGAAGGTTTTGACCAAGCCGGATTGTTACACGTCCATCCACGTGACTGAAATTTATATTTATATTTAAAAAAATATAGGAGCCCGACCGTTCTGACCAAGCTACTCCCAGCTGCCCCCAGCTTCTTTAAACCCCACCCAAAATAGTCAATCCACAATCATGTCTTGGACAAACTCCTCCCACAAAACAAGAAACTCCTACTTAGTGACTGCAGAGTCCCCCTTTCTCTTGACTTACTAAAAAAAACACATTTATGGAGACTAAAACTGTCCAACTCTGTTCTATAACAGAGTCCTGCTCACAAACCTAAAGAGACAGCTCAGGTCTTGAGCCATGAGCAAAAAACATCTTACCTGTTGCAGATGGCTTTAAACAGTGTCGATCTAGAGTTTTATTCAGAGCTGACTGATGAGCTAACAGCTGGTCTGAGTGGTGCGAAGTCAAAACAAGGATGCTGTTCTCTTAAAGCAGCTCTACTATCAGAGTTCCTACTTAACAAGAGACCACACCCCTCCAGCTGTTCTTCTGTCTCAGATGAATCTGATTCTTGTTACACGCATATTTCAACTCCAGTTCAGTCTGCAACACTTCAGGAACCGTTAGCTCAACAATCCGATCAGATTAAACCATTTCTCCAAACAGTGGTCATCCAACATGATATCTGAACAGGTAARATRTTAATTGTTCATAACATYCTCTGTTTAAAAGCTCGGAACTTTCCGTTTTAGTGAGGCTCCTGATGTTTTAACGGCACAAGTGCGATTTGGCCACTCGAGCATAAACTCCAGTAGATGTAAAACCTAAACCACTAACGTGTCTAACTCACGGAGTCACTTCAGCAGACCTGCTGGTGATCCGTCAGGCTCTCACAGAGAGCGTAGTCATAGAAAAGCTGCGMCGCCGACACACTAACAGAACGTTAGCGAGGTTATCTTGTGCGTTTAACGGCTGMGATTAAGATGGTCCTCGAGTACAGTGACTAAACTATGGAAATGAAGAAGATACAAGGATAAGGAAGCTTTAAAGGAAGGCGATGAAATGGTTCAGATCCAGGAGTGCAAGCTGTAGTAGAGGAGGACCAGGAGGCGGGGCTGGATTTAAAGAAACGAGCTGTCCSACGAGTCCAACCAACATCCAGGCACTTCCTGCTGGCAACGTGGCGACAGGTAGGTGTGTTTTTACTGATTAAWGGGAGCATCCTGCTGGATGTTCCGATGGCCTTACTCACAACAGAATGTAAACGGCCGGTAAACAAGACGTCTAAGACTTGTTGTCGGCTGATTTGATCCACAGCAGCAGACTTTAAGTTGCACAATCGTCAGTTTGTTTTTCAGTGAAATCTGATGAGGAGGTTTAAACTTCCTGGTTGTCTGAGCGGGAGTCGTGTGACGTTGATGATGGTCATGTGGTCTTCTCCTGAATGAGTCCTGCACTTTGCTCTGTGGTTTTGTTGGCGAGCGGCAGCGCAGGGCTGTAGGCCTGCATTGAGCCGTGGGTGGACATTTTATAGAAGGCCGGGGAGGACCTCTTGGCCGGGCTGCAGAGGTGCTGGAACCGCTGTCGAGGAGAAAATACAAAAAGCAGCTTGAATCGTCACCTGTTTTATTTTTTWAAATTATTTTGAGGGSAAATGATTCTAGAAAACACGAGCAGAATATGAGTGTTACCTGTGGCAGGGTCCCGGGAGTGGTGACCAGAGCGTAGACGGCCCAGATGGGAAGCAGGGACACGGAGGACAGGGTGAGGACCCAGCCCAGGGTGGTGGCCCAGACTGGAGCCACCAGGCCTTTCCCCAGGCTCAACGGAGACCAGCGCACCAGGGAGAAGATAAACGTAGCCTTCAGAAGACAAAAGGTAATTTTAATGAGAACATYTGAAGCTAAAATGACAGCAAATAAATTAATATAAAGCTGAGTTTCATTGCTCACTGTTCTAAAGTTATAAAGATGTTTTCATAAGATCACAGCACAATCACTGATGACATTTTGGGGGAATAAATAGAAACCAGCTGACGTTCTGTAGTTTGTTAAACACAGACAGCAGAACTCATGACCAGTGCTGACATGGTTTATAATGCAAATCATGAATCAAACACACAGCATGGATTAAAGCTGCAGTGGATCTGTAAGGTGCAGCTGAACGACACTGCTCAGTAAATCTCAGGACTCTGATGCTACCAGAACAAGTAAAAAAAGAAAAGTAGACAAAATGGGAACAAAAAGAAAACAAAGCAGCAAGATAAAACCCCAACAAAACACCAACAAGTGCCTTTTTTCCTGTGAGATACTAAATATATTTAGAAGTCACAACGGTAATTTAAAATCTGGATCATCTTGAACAGATACAGACAGTCAGTGTGAGCAGAACTCAGACTTTAGAGAAGTGGTTTGAAATCTGTTAGAGACAAATTCATTTGAATMGAAGAATTTGAGTCGATTCAAATGAAACTCCAGACATGTTGGTGACATGCAGGGGGTGCAGGCTGCTTGAAACATGAATAATTACAGGTCAGTGGACAGAGATCACTCACAGTGCACACAGCTGGAGTGAAATATCTCCAGCACAGYTTGAAGACGGGCAGCGGGTCGTAGCTGATCATGTCTCTGATGTTGGCGTTAAAKCGATCGGCTCCTGAGGATGAAACATGATGGTGTTTTCAGTCTGCTCTCTTAAAGCTCATCGTCTAACCGTCTGCTGCACCAATCACCTGAGGGGATCCCCCCAACAACTGTAACGTCCACACAGCTGTAGGTGATGGGCTGACCTGACCAGGAATCACTTGAAACAGCCTGCAGCTGGAGGAGCTACACAAACAGGCTAGATTGGTATTCACACACACACACACACACACACACACACACACACACACACACACAC